GAGCAATAAATGTCAATTATATAATTAATTATATTAAATATAGACCCATGAGTACATGTCTTAATGTTGTGTGATAAAAAGGGAAGCAAGCATGAATCACTTCTGCAAACTGAGTTATGGTGATTGCCTTGGAAAATCACCCGTAACATCATAGAAAACTGCTACTCACTTTTTTTTCACTTATAACGGTTTACTTAGAAGAATAACTGATAGACAAAATGGTTTCTCATATTCGGGTATTAGGCATATATTTTTTCTAAGTCAGTGAGCTTATCCTTTCAAGGAAACCACCTGATAGTATTTGTTGCCCATTTAAAATTTTAGCTTTCAAACAAAATTTAGAATTTTTGTAAACTTAATGTCCATCTGTGTGAGTTTTATAGTTTCACCAATACTTAGATTTTTCTGATGACATGAGAGATTTTAATGAATATGATTTTGAAAATATCATCTAATGAAATATGTAACATTTTGAGGATCTGCATGACTCAGTAGACCAGTATTTTCTAAATGACCCTTGTAGGATGTTCCATAATCATGCATGGGTTAAATATTCATTGAAAGGGAAAGACAGACCAGAGGATTTTAAGATAACAGAGTATGATAAGTTATGTTTTTATATTCCTACATTTCACTGATCTTTGAGAAACTACCACTTGTTGAGTTTTGGTATAGTATCATTGAAGAATATTCATAACTATCTGAAAGGATATTAAAATACTTCTTTTTCGACTTCATATCAGGTAGGACTTTCTTCATATATTTCCACTCAAGCAAAACATTTCACAATAGCTTGAATGGAGAAGCAGATATGAGGCTCCAGCTGTCTTCTATTAAACCAAGCATTAAGGAGAATTGCAAACATGTATAAATATATATAAGACAGTGCTATTCATCACTAGGGTTATTTGGTTTTGAAAGTAATTTTGCACAAAAACTCATTATGTTAAATTTATGTATGTGATGTATTAAGATTAGGGTCAGGATTATAAGTAAATAAAACATCAACCATTTAAGTTAACCAAGTTAATTATTAAATTGACTATTAATAGGTATTTTAAATATTTAGAAGGCTTTTTAGTTTACTTTCTCTTAGAGTAAATAAATCAACTAAAGCTCTTTGTCGAAAAGTTTTAAGAGTGTAAACTCTTCTAACAGCTTTAAAACTACTGGTCTAAAGTGCGTGTTTGGGGGTAGGGGACATGGCAGATGTATGTCTGATCTGGCCTGGCGTTCAGAGGGATGGAATCCAAATTGGTGGGTAGAGCATTTCAGCCGGAAACTTCTAGGTAGTTATGTTACTCGGGCAGACAGATACTAGCACATTGTCATCCCCTGATGGTTGGTTTAGATTGGTGCAGGACCCAAACCAAAAGATTGAGGTACAGGGCAAGACTCCTAACAGGAATGAAGGCTAGTCATGTAGATTGAGAATAGGAGGTTAGAGGAAAGCTCCAGTTTGGTGAAAGCATAGGTGATCAGGGCCCACCTTCGTCATACTACATATCAGGTTTTTGTAGTGAAGTAGTTTTCGGTCTTCCCAATTGGTGGGGGGTAGAGCGCCAGAATTACTCCTGTAGTCAGTGCCCAGCCTCAGAGACTTCAGCTGATTAAGTTGAAATTTTACACTAGGTGGCTACTTAGCTGTTTGTTTAAGTAATGCTTGGACTTAGGGAATATGCTGTTCCTTCATATTTAGAAGCCTCCGCATCCCCATCTTCTTGTGCATCTTTTAAGTGATTCTAAACTTCATGTAAAATGCAGTTTATAAATTAACTAAACAATAGTTTAATGTTACCAGTGAACTAATTGCACATATTCAATATGTAGATGTACTTCTTTTGATTTAAATTAAAAAATAAAAGATCTACCATATAGTAGAGTTGTATAGCTTTATAAGTTTGTTTAAATAAAAACACAGTTGTCTGATTTCCCTCACCCCTTAATTTTCCATTCTCAGAGCAAACCAAATCATGCTGAAATCTCAATTTTTCTGTTAGATCTGTGTATCCAAATCATATGCTAGTGTAGTTTTTTGTTTTTTGTTTTTAATTTTTAAGTTTTAGCCGTTATCTATTGACTGCCCACCCTGGATGATAGTTAACTCTCCTTCACATCCGCTTCATTTTTTTTTTTTTAAGATTTTATTTATTTACTTGAGAGAGAAATGAGGGAGAGAGAGCATGAGAGGGGGGAGGGTCAGAGGGAGAAGCAGACTCCCTGCTGAGCAGGGAGCCTGATGTGGTACTCGATCCCAGGACTCCAGTATCGTGACCTGAGCCGAAGGCAGTTGCTTAACCAACTGAGCCACCCAGGCGCCCCAATCCACATACCCTTCTAACTCCCAACCTGAATTCAGCTATATTATATACATACTCAACTGCTGGTCCTTTCCATTATCTTAATATATTTATATCATGATTTTTACTATGTAGTATCTAGGTTTTAAATATTTTTTTAGGTTTACTGAAGTGTAATTTTAATAATGTAAAATTCACCCTCCTTAGTTTTACACTTCTGTGAGTTTTCACGAAGAACTTCACAGTATAACTATTACTGTAGTCAAGATATAAAATTGTTTCATAGCCTAAAAAATTTGTCTCATGCTCCTTTATAGTTAGCCCTTTCCCCTCATTCTCTAATAATTCCAGTACTATTTGTTGAAAATCCTGTGTTTTTTCCCTTGAACTCTTTTTATATCAGTGCCACCAATTAATTGACCATATATACGTGTGGGTCTATTTCTAGATAGGCCATTTTGTTCCACTGATCTCTGTGTCTGTCATTTTGCTAATGCTGCAGAATAAGTTTTGAAGTAAGTCTTGAAAACAGGTAGTGTGAGTGCTCCAATTGTTTTTTTCCACCCCCCCAAAACTGTTTTGGTTAGTCTAGTTTCTTGGTTTTCCCATAACTGCCCTAAATATCCCCTGTGCTTCTCTCTCCCTTAGCGTCAGGCAACCACTGATCTTTTTTACAGTCTTGATGGTTTTGTGTTTTCCAGAATGTCAGATAGTTGTAATCATACATTATGTAGTCTTTTCAAATTGACTTCTTACACTTAGTAATACACATCTAAGGTTCCTGCTTGTCTTTTCATGGCTTGATAGCTCATTTCTTTTTAGCGCTGAATATTCCAATATCTCAGTGTACCAGTTTAGTCATTCACTTATAGAGGGATGTCTTGATTGCTTCCTGATTTTGGCAATTAATGAATAAAGCTGCCATAAACATCTGTGTGCAGGTTTTTGTATGGGTGTAAGTGTTCAGCTCCTTTAGGTAAATACCCAAGAAGTGTGATTGTTGGATTGTATTATAAGAGTATGTTTAGTCTTGTAAGAAGCTACCAAACTGTCTTACAAAGTGGCTGTACCATTTTGCATCCCCACTAGCAATGAATGAGAGTTCCTGTTGCTCCACAGCCTCTTTAGTATTTGGTATTCTCAGAGGTCCAGATTTTGATCATTGTAATAGGTATATAGTGGTATCTCATTGTTATTTTAATTTGCATTTCCCTGATGATATATGTTGTGGAGCATCTTATATGATTATTTGTCATCTATATCTTTGGTAAAGTGTGTTTGTTCAGGTGTTTTGCTCATTTTTTAATTGGGTTTTCTTGTTGAGTTTTAAGGGTGTTTGGGTATTTTGAATAATCTTTTTTTTTTAAGATTTTATTTATTTGAGAGAGAGAGAGGGGGAGAGCACAGAGGGAGAGTGAGAGGGAGAAGCAGCCTCCCTGCTGAGCAGAGAGCCCGTGGGACTCAATTCCAGGACCCTGAGATAATGACCTGAGCTGAAGGCAGACACTCAATGGACTGAGCCACCCAGGTGCCCTTAGATAATAGTCTTTTATCAGATAATGTCTTTTACAAATATTTTCTTTCAGTCTGTGTCCCTTTTTTTTTTTTTTTGATAGTGTCTTTTGCAGAGCAGAAGTTTTGAATTTTAATGAAGTCCAGATTATCAAAAATTTTTTTCATAGATCTTGGCGTATCTAGAAAGTCTTCACCATACCCAAATTCATCTAGATTTTCCCCTGTGTTCTCTTCTAGGAGTTTCATAGTTTTGCATTTTATATTTAGGTCTGTGATCCATTTTGAGTTAATTTTGTGACTATAAGGTCAGTGTCTAGATTCATTTTATTGCATGTGGATGTCCAGTTATTCAGTCACCATTTATGGGTAAGACTTTTGGTTCTGCTGAATTACCTTTGCTCCTTTGTCAAGGATCAGTTGAGTATGTCCTTGTGAGTCTATTTCTGGGCTTAGGCTCTCTATTCTGTTGATCTGTTTGTCTATTCCTTCGGCCATAGCACAGTGTCTTGATTACTGTAGCTTTATAGCAAGTCTTGAAGTCAGATAGTGTCAGTCCTACAACATTGTTTTTCTTCAGTATTGCGTTAGCTATGCCAGATCTTTTACTTCTCCATATAAAATTTAGAATCAGTTTGTTGATAATCTGTAGAATAATTTGCTGGGATTTTGATTGGGATTACATTGAGTATGTTGAAACAAATTGGGAAGAACTGACACCTTGACAATACAGATGGTCCCCAGTTTACGATGGTTCAACTTAGATTTTTTGACTTTCTGATGGTGGAAAATGATACACATTTAGTAGAAATTGTACTTCAAATTTTAAATTTTGATCTTTTCCTGGGCTAGCAATATCTAGTATGATACACTCTTGTGATACTGGGCAGTGGCAGTGAGCTGCTAGCCATGAGATCATGAGGATAACCAACTAATACATTTAAAATCATTCTCTACCCATACAGCCATTTTGTTTTTTTCACTTTCTGAACATTATTCAATAAATTACATGAGATTTTCAGCACTTTATTATAAAATGGGCTTTGTGTTAAATGAGTTTGCCCAAATGTAGGCTAGTATAAGTGTTCTGAGCATGTTCAGAGGCTAGGCAGTAATGTTCAGTAGGTTAGATGTATTAAATGCTTTTATTTATTTATTTATTTGTTTGTTTCTTTGTTTATTTGACAGAGAGACGCAGCGAGAGAGAGAGAACACAAGCAGGGGGAGTGGGAGAGGGAGAAGCAGGCGTCCCGCCGAGCAGGGAGCCCGATGCAGGGCTTGATCCCAGGAGCCTGGGATCATGACCTGAGCCGAAGGCAGACGCTTAACGACTGAGCCACCCAGGTGCCCCTGTATTAAATGCTTTTTTGACTTATATTTTCAACTTATGATGAGTTTTTTTGGGGACATAACCTCATCATGAGTTGACAAAGATTAGTATTTAGTCTTCCTATCTGTGAACCTGGAATATGTTTCCATTTTTTAGTTCTTTGATGTCTGTCATCTGGGTTTTGTAGTTTTCCCCATATAGATCTTGTAAATATTTTGTTAGATTTATACCTAAGTATTTCATTTTGGGTAGTGTGAATGTGTGAATGTAACCAGTATTGTTTTTAACTTCAAATTCCACTTATTGCTGGCCTATAGGAAAACTGTTGATTTTGTATATTAACCCTGTATCTTGCAACCTTGGTGTAATTGCTTCTTAGTTCCAGTTTGGGTTTTTTAGTCTTTAGGATTTTATACATAGACTATCATGTCATCTGCAAACAAAGACAGTCATATTTTTTTCTTCCCAGTCTGTGTTCCTTTTATTTTCTTTTCTTGTCTTTTTTTTTTATTATGTTATGTTAGTCACCATACAGTACATCATTAGTTTTTGATGTAGTGTTCCATGATTCGTTGTTTGCGTATAACACCCAGTGCTCCATTCAGTACGTGCCCTCTTTAATACCCATCACCAGGCTAACCCATCCCCTCCCTTCCCTCTAGAACCGTCAGTTTGTTTCTCTGAGTCCATAGTCTCTCATGGTTTGTCTCTCCCACCGATTTCCCCCCCTTCATTTCTCCCTTCCTACTATCTTCTTCTTCTTCTTCTTTTTTTTTTTAACATATAATGTATTATTTGTTTCAGAGGTACAAGTCTGTGATTCAACAGTCTTACACAATTTGCATTAGTTAGGACTTCTAGTACAATTCAAAAAGGAGTAGTGAGAGAGAGACATCCTTGCCTTCTTGATCTTTGTGGGAATTCTTCCAGTTTCTCACCATTTACTATATTAGCTGTATTTTTTTGGTAGAGGCTCTTGATTAAGTTGAGGAAGTTCTATATTCCTAATTTGCTGAGAGTTTTTATCATGAGTGGGTGTTGGGTTTTGTCTAATGCTTTTTCTGCATCTATTGATGTGATCTCGTGATTTTTCTTCTTTAGTTGTTGTGATGGTTTACATTCATCGATTTTCTAATGCTGAATTAGGCTTGCGTACTTGAGACAAACCCCATTTTGTCGTGGTGTATAATTCTTATCATATATTTGGATTCAGTTTGCTAGTTTGTTGGGTATTTGTGCATCTTTGCTAATGAGAGATGTTGATTGTGCTGTATTTTTTTCTTACAGTGTTTTTCATTTGGGTGTTAGGGTAATGTTGACCTCATAGAATGAAGAAGTATTTCCTCTGCTTCTATTTTCTGAAGAGATTTTAGAGAGTTGGTATTATATCTTATTAAATGTTTGATAGAATTGACCAGTGAACCCATTTGGGTCTGATGCTTTCTGTTTTGGAGGGTTAATTATTGATTCCATTTCTTTGATAGATACAGGCCTAATAAGATTCTCTGTTTCTCCTTGTGAGTTTTGACAGATTGTTAGAAGTGTGTTATTTAATCTGCAAATATTTTGGGGTTTTCCAGTTATGTTTCTATTACTGATTTCTGGTTTAATTCCACTGTGGTCTTAGAGTGTATATACAGACCACGAGAGGGATGCTGTATCTCTTTCCCTGGTTCTCTCTGGTAAACTGTTAACTGATGTTTTTTAGCTTCTTGCTCTCATGTAGTTACCAGTCTCCATTTAACTGCTTACCAACAAAATTTCTATTGTTTTTGGGAGTACTCTTAGGATTGATTTTTCCCCCAGGGTATTCCAAATTAAGTCTGTTCCCTTGGGGATACTTTTGAGCTCTCTTTGTTACAACCTGTCTCTGCCCCTTGGCAAAACCTGCACTGCTGCTCTGGAGCTGAGAGGAGGGGAAATGGCTTGCTTTTCTCATTGTGACACCCCTACTTAGGGAGCAGAGTTGTTTGGCTAGTATAGTAGCCTCTAGTTTTCCTAAAGGACTATTTCAGCTTCAGGTTAAGTTTTTCCTTTGTGCTGTGTGTCAGAGAATGTCTCTTTTTACATTAATGTTCCTCTCTGCAAAAATATCTTTAAAAAAATCTATAAAAAGAAGTTGCTGAGATTTTGATTGGGATGGCATTGACTCTATAGATGAATTGGGGTGATTTGATATCTTACTAAGTTTTCCAATTCATGGGCATAGTATTTCTCCCTATTAATCTAGATATCTTTTGATTTATTTCATTAATATTTTGTTGTTTCCACATACAGTTCTTGCACATATTTTGTTAGATTTATATGTAAGAATTTTATTTTTGGGGTTGCTATTATAAATTTTATGATTTTTCTTTTTTTTCTTTTTTTTTTTTTAAGATTTTATTTATTTATTTGAGAGAGAGAGAATGAGAGAGAACACATGAGAGGGGATAGGGTCAGAGGGCAAAGCAGACTCCCCGCCGAGCAGGGAGCCCGATGCGGGACTCCATCCAGGGACTCCAGGATCATGACCTGAGCCGAAGGCAGTCGCTTAACCAACTGAGCCACCCAGGCGCCCTTTTTTTTCATTTCAAATTCCAATTATAGCCATATATAGGAATATGACTGACTTGTCTATTGACCTTATATTCTGCTACCTTGCTAAACTCACTTTTTCATTCTAAGAGGGTTTTTTTTTTTTTTTTGGTAGATTATTTGAGATTTTTTGGACAGTGTTTCCTGCAAATTAATTTTTTCCTTTCTAACATGTGTACCTTATAATAGTTTTTCTTGCTTTATTGAACTGGTAGGCCTTTCAGTACAGTGTGGAATGGGGTAGAGAGGACCCTGAGATCATGACCTGAGCTGAAATTCAGAGTCGGAGGCTTAGCTGACTGAGCCACCCAGGTACCCTGAATTTTATTGATTTTTGAATGTTGAACTAACCTTATATTTCTTGGATGAAACCAATATGATTGTGATATATATTTTTTCATTTTACTGCATTTTATTTGCAAACATTCTGTGGCAGTTTTTACATCTGTGTTCATTGGAGATACTGATTTGTAATTTTCTGGCAATATTTCTCGATTTGTGAACAGGATAATACTGGCTTCATAAATGGGACATCTTCTTTCCTCTTTTTAATGGAATTGATTGTGTAGAATTGGCATTATTTCTTATTTGATTGGTAGAATTTGCCAATGAAACTATCTAGGCCTGAAGTTTTCATCTTTTGGTATGTAACTTGCAGTCCAGTTTATTTACTAGGTATAGGGCTATTCAAGTTTTCTTGAGTGAGTTTTGGTGATCTTTCAAATAATTGTTCCATTTCATCTAATTTGTCAAATTCATGGAGCATATAGTTGTTTGTAGTATTACTTCATTTTCCTGTTAATGTCTTTGGCCTCATTTGTGACACTGATTCTAAGCTTTATATGGAAAGGCAAACACTGTAACAAGTAACGTAGTGTGGAAGAAGCACAAAGTTGAAGGACTCACGCCATTTGGTTTCAAGACTTACTATAAAACTACAGTTATGAAGATAGCATGCTACTGGTAGAAGGACAGACATACAGATATAGAATAGAGAACTCAGACTCACACAAATATTGCAAACTGATCTTTGACAAAGGCAGAAAGAGTGCTCAGTGGTGAAAGGGTAGTCTTTTCAAATAGTGTTGGAATCAATTATATGTTTAAAAGTGAACTTACATAGAGACCTTACACTTTTAACAAAATTTCTCTCAAAATGGATCACAGACCTTAAATATAAAATGGAAAACTGTAAGACTTCTAAAAGCAAATATAAAAGAATATGTGAACTTGGGTTGGGTGATGAGTTTTAGATCCAACATCAAAAGTGTAATTCATGAAAGAAGAAATTGATAAGCAGGACTTCATTAAAATTAAAAATATTTGCTCTGAAAAAACAGTGTCAAGAGAATGAAAAGACAAACCACAGACTAGAAAAAAATTTTGCAAAACCCATATCCAATAAGGGACTTTAATATACAAAGAACTCTTCAAATTCAATAATAAGAAAACAACCCAATTAGAAATTGGGCAAAAGATCTGAACATACACCTCACCAAAGAAGATACAGAGATGGCCAATGAGCAAATGAAAAGATGCTCATTTGCAATTAGAGAAATTCAATTTAAAAAAATGAGAAATCCTCATACCTATATTAGAGTGATTAAAATTTTTAAAAACCTGAAAATACCAATTGCTGGCTAGGATGTATAGCAATAGGAAACTCATTTCTAGTGTATTTTTTAGTTCATTTTAAAATTGTTGCTCAAGAGATTATAATGTGCATAATACTTGTATCTTTTTTTTTTTTTTTTAAGATTTTATTTATTTGACAGAGAGAGACACAGCAAGAGAGGGAACACAAGCAGGGCGAGTGGGAGAGGGAGAAGCAGGCTTCCCGCCAAACAGGGAGCCTGATGTGGGGCTTGATTCCAGGACCCTGGGACCATGACCTGAGCTAAAGGCAGATGCTTAATGACTGAGCCACTCAGTCGCCCCAATACTTGTATCTTTTATGCAGTTCTCTTGAATTATTTTAGAAGAAAAGAGTAAAAATTATATTTATTCTGTCATTTACATTTATTTATGTAGTTAGCTTTTCTGAGCCTGTTTATTTCTTCATATGGGCTTCTTTTTTATTTCTTCATATGGATTTGAATTAAAGTCATTTCTTTTCAGCTTGAAGGAATTTGTTTTTTTCTTCTAAGGCAGGTTGACTAACTGAATTCTTAGTCCTTTTTTGTCAGTCATAATTTTTCCTCATTATTGAAAGATAGTTTTCTGGAGTTAAGCTTCTTGCTTGTCATTTTTTTATTTTTTCTTTTAGTACTTTGGGTATACCAGATACTGCCTCTGGTCCTCATTGTTTCTCATGAGAAATCACAAGTAAAGATTCTTTGGGTCACTTGTGTGTTTTTTTCTGTTGCTGCTTTTATAATTTTTGCTGAAAATAACAAAATATTAGTGAAATAAAGAAGATCTAGATAAATAGGGATTA